CCCTCCCCCGCCCTTTCCTGCTGTGCTCGCCTGGCCTTGGCCACAGCGTCCCCCCCTCACCAGCATCCTCCAGCATCGACCTGTTTATCATGTCCTGTCTCCCCAACTAGAGCGCGTTTCCAAGGGCCGGTCTTGTTCACACCGTGTCTGGTTGTCCAGAACAGGGTCAGGCACACAGTAGGCACGCAGCGAGCCTCTGTGGGACGTCGTGTGGTCTCTCTTACGCTGACTAGTGACCAACTGACCCAAAGCCACCACCGCGCCCGGCGCGGCCCCGTCCCAGTCTGCCCACGCACAGGTGTAAGGGACGGTTGGCAGAGGCTCACGAAGCCCCTGCGGGAACAGAGCACACCTCCTGGGCACTCAAGGATGCCCTGCCACTCACTGCCACCTGGCACAGTGCGGGAGAAAGCCACACCCAGCCCCGTGTCCAGAAACGAAGGACACCATCCGTGCCCGTGTCCCCTAGAGAACGGAACTGGGACCTCGTCGAGTGGCGGCCTCCTGCCTCCTGCAGCAGCGGACAGATGCAGACGCGGGGCCCTGAGCTGCCTCGTGCAGTTAACTGAATCCAGTCGAGAGCTTGGACGTGGAAATCTGCTTTTTGAGAAACGAAGTCTGAGCTTGGATGCGGGGGCTGCGTGACGTTCTGTTATTCTTGGGGGTGACGATTCACAGCGGGGGTGGGGTGCACGAGAGGACGGAGGTTTCAGATGGAGTGTGAGGGTCACTCCGAATGTCCGCCTTGGGCTCCTCGCGGTGTGTGTTCGGTTTTCTGGGCCTCCGGCGGATCTCGTTTAGTGGCTTCGCCACTGCCTGCTGTCCTGGCCACTCCTGGCTGCAGAGCTGGCCACCTGGCTGTGCCCTGTGCTCTGCGGTCAGCCAGGCTCCTCCCGTGGAACCGAGAGGGGAGAACACAGTCCGCGTCTAGGCGTGGGTTTGTCTGCCCGGTGGTGACGCGCCGATGCGTCCAGCTGGCCGGCTCATGACATGCGGCCACGGCTGCGACTCCGCTCTGAACGGTGCCGTGTAACTGCGGGAAATGCCCGCTCCGCCCCGAACACCCTTCAGGCAGGATGCGGAGCCCGCCCGTCACCCTCCCGCCTTCCACGCCCGGGTGAAGCGCCCACACTCCCTGAGGCAGGTTCACCGCACGGGCAGCTGCGTGTCACCTCCCGGGAAGGGATGGAGGGCTGCAGGCGTGCCGGCGGCTCCCGCACACCTCCGCCTGCCAAGCGGGGGGCAGGTCCCCCCACTCGACGTCAAGCCTGGCGTGAAAGTTACACCCTTTTTCTTCATTTCCTCCTCTATTCTCATGCCGAAGTGTACTTAATAAACACGTGGGTCGAGTCACGTCGTTCAAAGGTCCACGTAGACCAACGTGTCGCTGCTAATGTGTCAACGAGGTGTTTATGGGCTCCCATATTTTTAAAAGTCTGGGCCTTTCTCTCCTGACGAGGCTGCTCCTGGCCAGCGTCCCAGTCCCTCCCCCCAGGGACAGCGGCCACGCGCCCTCGGCGAGACCAAAAGCTGAAGAGCTCGAGTCTCAGCGGAGACAGAAAGCGATGCGCGTTGCAGGCAAAAAGCCGCATGAGTGGCTTCAGGGGGTCCAGGGGCGGGGACACCTCCAGACGCCCCGCCGACGGAGTTCTGCAGACCTTATTACTCAGCAGCCTGGAGCCCTCTTCCGAGCCTTCCTTAAGATGCTTCTAGAACACAGAGATCAATTTGGCTGTGAGACGGGAGACGTCTTCTGTGCGAGGCCGACCACTGGCACTTGTCACCCTTTGCCGGATGGAGGCTCCCGGTTCCACGGGGCTTCCGTTTCCTACAGGAGTAGGAGCGTGTGTCCTCGGCCAGGTGCGCACACTTAGGCCGAGGTCCGCGAGGTCACCGGCTGCCCCGCGCTTGCTTTCCTGAGTGACCTGCTGATGAAGCACCTCGAGAGGACCAAACCACGGTGCTTCTGCCTCAGGTGGAGAAAGGCCGCTGACCACACTGAGTAAGTTTAAAACACCCAGGGAGGAGGAGGGGAAATGCCTCTCTCGTCAGGAAAATCAGCGGCCATCGCAAAGATCGGGCAAGTGACTGCACATCAGCAAGTGACAAGAAACATGCCACTGAGTGCGTCAGCCGCGGGTCTGTCCCTTGAAGAGTCGGGAAACGCCTGAGGCTTTTTCCACTGGTCGTTTCACAGTTTGGAAAACGACATAGCACTTACACTTACTCATCTGCTGGAGCAGCGGTCCCCAACCTTTGTGGCACCAGGGACCGGGGCCCTAGGAGCATCTGACGCCCGATGATCCGAGGCAAGGCCGAAGCGGCGACAGCGCCCAGTGCCTGCTAGCGTGCGCAGGCGCCGCAGT